TCAATTCGATCGTTAGCGATTTCAGAAAAGCTTCCTGTTAGACAGACAGTCAATGGCATCATTCATCAGTCAACTTAATTATGCTCTGAAACTTTCAATATTGACCGCCATTCAAAATATCTTGTTTAACTACTTGTTTTTACTATACATTCTTTTGGGAACACTTATCCTTATGCCGAACGTTATTTTTTTTAAATACTTCTTTTTTATTCTGATGAACATTGATTTGTGTTTTTTTTTTGAAATATCTTTCTTGCTTATCTTATATAATTCATGCGCCATATAATGATAAAAATCACATATGTATAATAAAATTCAGATCTAATATTCTAGTAAATTATTTCAGCTTCGTACAGTAGTAATGATCTCCAATGATTTTCTGCTACATTCAGTTTATAAAAGATCATCTACAAGACTAATCTTGTGAAAAAATGTCATATTTATAAATAGTGCAAGAGCGAGACCCGCTATCATTGAGCGCCCTCTCTCACACAAACGTCTTCTTTCTAAAGGAAATGTGCAACATAGTTCAATGGCGATTTTGTGTGTGTACGTCAAAGTGTGTGTAGCTTATCTCAACCAAATAAAACAACTTTTTATTAAAATCTTTTAAAACAATTTACTTTCTATATTCGTTCTCAATAATCAAATTTTTAAAAGTTAACTATAAATTTTAATCGTTTTACAAAAAATTAATAAAATTATCAACTTTAAATCAAACGAAATTTTAAAAATTTTAATTTACTTAAATTTATTTTCTTTATGTTCGCAAATGAGAAGTAGCCCTATTGATCATGCGTAAAATAAATCATTTTTTTCTATGGTTGGATTTCAAAAACATAAAAAGTACTAATAATACTAATATATGCAGTACAGTCAACATGAGTGTTAGCAATCGTGTTTCCTTTTAAATAATATCTGTAATCATGAAATAATCGAATTTAATATTGAATATAGTTTTTGTAATCAAACGAGAACTATCAATTAGAAGAAACTCATATTTGATGGATTCATTTGTCTTAAGTTTTCATATCAAAATGAATCATATGAAAAATTTCTTTGCATTTCTTGCGAGAAAATGGATTATGTACGTGAAACTAAGAGTTTTTAAAATGTTTTATTATTTTTTTTCTTTTTCATTGCGCTAGGATTGCACAAATCAGTCAGTTTCATTTTGTAGTAGACTATTGACATAAGAAAAAAAAAAAACATGTTTTTAAATTTTTGTTTCTTGTTTTTCATTGATCTCTCAAGGATATTTCATATTGTTTAGATTTAGAAATCTAAATGAATAAAGACAAAAATATAACTTTATCTTTTTCCTGAAAAAAAATAATGTAATTATGCAATAATATTAAAAGAAAAAAATGGAAACAATTATCACTAGTTCCTTCTGCTATATAAAGTTTATCAATAGATTTTTTATTTTAAATAACTATTCATAGAATATTCTAGATGAATTTTATCAAAAAAAATCCATAATTTTCATGATCTTAAATGATTATACAGTTACAAGTAAAAACATCAAAATTAAGCAACCTAACACTGTGAAAATGGTCGCGAATCTTGTTTGATGTTTTGGAGAATTTTGACAGATGAAGGACATGTTTTACTGTAAAATTAAAGAAAATCTATAGCATTTAAAATACCCTCATATCAAAGATGGTCATTGTGATAATGAATTGAAATGGTTTTGAATTATGTCGAAATATTCATTACATGTACATTTCCAATCTATAGTGATTTGCTATAGGAATGTAAAAAACAAAAATATAATCGATTTTGAAGTTTTTTCTATAAAAAGATTCAATTATGATGAGCAAAAATTAGAATAATCTACTCGTATGTTGTAATCTTCAATTATTACTATTATAAAATTATATTTCGATTCATTTTTTGTGTAAATGAACCCGATATATCCTCTTTATTGTTAGTAAAAAGAAGTCTGCATCGTTGATTTATTTATTTCAATTAAAACTTATCAATTATTATATATATATACTTCTCAATGAATATTTTTTGTTCTGAATATTGAAAAATTTAGCAAAATTTTCTTATGATTGATATTATAGACATACAGATAACGTTAAATTTACTACTGATTAGTTTTTCGTTTTAAGATTAAATCAGTTATGTTGTTAGAGAAATGAAAAACAAATTTATCATTTGTTGACATTGTTCCTCGTTTTGGTTATCATGCTACACCATATATTATATTTATTTTTAAGCCTATATTCAAAATACCAAATAAATCATTGTCTTCCTTTACTTAAAAGAAAAACTAGTATAAACCAAAGTACTAACATTTTTATTTTAGAAATAATCATTACAAGAACATTGTCCATTTGTATAGAAGTGATGTATTCGATTTGCATCACGAACAATTATTTCACATTGACGAATGGCAGCTATTAATTTTGTTGCCCGATCTATAAAAAAAAAGAAAAAAAAACAAGATATGAAGGAAGATTTAATGATCACTTACGGCAATCACCACATACACGAAGATTTTTCGTCACTTGAATTCTTGACACATTGGGATTTTCAACAAAATTCCATGCAATTGCAAGTTTTTCACTATGTCCACAAAGTACTGATGCTATAGTTTCATCTTGATTCAATGGTCGTGTAATCCAACTTCCATCATATTCATGACCATGTTCAAGAAGTTCTTTTGATATCTTCTCAATTTCAGCATAGATTTCACTTGATCGAGGATGTGTTTGTTCGTGAGCTCGAAAGAGCTAATAAAATTATTTAATATTGCTCTCTAGAAGATTATTATGTTTTAGACTTACAAAGAGTTTTCCATTAACTACTGTCCATGAGAGACCAATTTTTTTCTTAGCACGTGTTTTATGTAATTGACTTCTAATATTTGCTGCCTTTTCAATATCACCTGATGATGCATAAACATTGGCGAGAAGAATTGAAGCTGATGTTAGTGAATTTGTTGATTCAGGAAAAAGTTTGTTCATACGATCAAAAACATTTTGAGATAAATAACTATTTTTTTCATTTCGCGCACCTGATAGCAATGCCGCTATAATAAAAACATATAAATTATAATTGAGTATTTTTTATAATAAGCTTTCATTTTTATTTAATATAGGTTTATTTTAAGTCAACACTTCTATTCAATTAAAAATAAAATAAAAAATAAATACTTTCATCCTTATGTTTATTAATCATTATAAAAACCTACTAGTACTTAAATATTTATGTCAATTCTCATCTCTTATTAAATTTGTGTTGATATTTGACAAAACTACTAATTGTAAATAACAGTCCACGAATACTGAAAATATACTCTTTAATTTCTTTTTTATTTCCTATTACTATACGCTTTTTATCTATTAACTTATTATATATCGGAAGAAAGCGCAGAATGCGCTGCATCCAATCGTATATTTACATTGAACATCAAATTCAGTTTAAAATGTAAAAAGTCCATAAGAAAAAAAAGTGATATTTGGTTTTTTTTATAGACTTTTGCATGCAGTAACAGTTTTTATTTCGCATATATCTCAGCTTAAATGACAGATAAAACCTTGAATTTTTTTCCTAAAAGATGCGCCATGAAAAACTCTACAATTGCTGTGTAATCGAATTTATTTTTACTGGTTCTAATAGCTTTTTTATACACAAAATGAACAGTTTACATTTCAGTGTCACTTCCGATCATACTGCGATTGTTAGGCGACTTTTTTGTTCTGCATAAATCTCAACTTGGGAAAATCATAAGTTATTGACTTTTTTTTAAAGATGTGCTGTCGAAAGCTCTATAAAACTTGGTATAAAATCTCTAGAAAATTTTAATAGACTAAAATCTATAGTGAACTAGAAGTCTTTGAAATATTTTCAGAAATGATGGATAGCAAAATCGTATTGTAAGTTGTTCATTTTGAGTATAAGAAAAAGCATTAGAAGAGGAAAAAAGAAATTTGATTATACGGCACATCTTTCGAAAAAAAAAATTCAAAGTTTTATCATTTATTTAAGCCCAAATATATGCCAAATAAAAAACTGTGACAACATTATGAACGTCTAGTTTTTGTAACAAAAAATAAATGTCACTTTTTCTTCTACCACTTCATTTATATTTTCAAACTGCATTTGATGTTCAATTTAAATATACTAAGAGACAATGCGTTCTAAACTTTCTTCCTATATACATATATATAGTAGGTTAATAGGTAAAAAAAAAACAAAAAGAATCAAAGGGTATATTTTCAATTTTCGTGGACTGTAATTATAGGATTACTTTTACTAAATCTTAATAGTAATCTATTGATAAACATGTAAGTGAAGAAACTAATATTATTCTGCCGTTCTTCATTCATATAAATGAGTTTATTACACATTTGTTACCGAGACGTTTTTTTTTAAAGAGATAAAAGTATGATTTTTAAGATAATTTTTTTTTTTCGATTATCAATTTAAACAAAAAAATAGTATCATAGACATGCGATTGATCCCAAGTTACATGGTAAAATTTGAATACAATAGATGAATTAAAGTAATCAATATATTAGAAGATTTTCTTCTTCTTTTCCTCTTAAGTAATCGAACATATCCTTTAATTCATAATGATACCTATCTTCACAATATTTCATTTTCATCATGATAATGTGTCGACTTTAAGTTAGAAAAATTGTGAAAAATATCTAGCGATCTTTGTTGAAAACGTATCATCAAGTCTTTTAGTACTGTTTTTTCAGCTTTCTATTGAACGATTCTTTAAGTTCTCTGTGCAAAAAAAAAGCATTTTTCACCCTCATATGTTCTAATGGGATGAATGAATATTCGCATGTATAAAACATGAAGAGATCTTTTGTAAAATAGTAATATATTAGTTAAAACGTTGTTGTATATAAATTAAAAGATCTTTTTCTCTTTTTATTTCTTCTAAAAAAAGCAATAAACGTGTTCATCACACAAAGTAGTATTTGATAATTGCAGAAAACATACTATTATCCATTTCAAAATAAAACTCATCTGGATACAATATAAAAATCTACGTTTTTCATTATTTGAAAGAGTGATGTCTGGACCATTGATTTGGAAGAAAGATATTTCTTTGCAGGAGATATTTGATCAATATTATGTATTTTAATTCATTTTTATAGCTATCTCTTCTCAAATTACGTGGAAATGTAGGTAAAATCACCTTTTTTTCACTGTAGAATTATCATCATTTGTGAAAAATTTACTTGAAAAAGAGATCGAACGGATAGTGGAACAGATGATAATTCTGGGGTAAACTAGAGGTGATTTTAGCTAAATTTTGGTGTAGTTCGAGAAGAGATAACTGTAAAAGTTAATTCAAAATCAACGATATCTATCAAATATCTTCTATTTAAAAAAAACATCTTTCATTTCAATGAATATTGTAGGGCTTGATGGTCTAGATTATTGCTCTTTCAAATAGTCTTTATCTTGTACCTAGAGAAAGTTATTTAAAAAACTAGTCAGATACCTTTTATTTTAAAACGGACAAGAGTTTCATTCCTATGTATGAAAGCTTGTTTTTTGAGTATTTCTGATACGTTTAAAAATGCATTTATTTTCTCAATATAGTTTAAAAGTACTTTTGAAAATAAACACACAAGAAATTACAAAACATTTATTCAATCACTGTTTTTTACTACGTAAAAACAACTAAATTCATTGAAGTTTGTTTGCAACTAATAGCTGTGTTAGTGATAGACTTCATCTGTACTAAAGCTCTTAGTGTGATAGGATAGTACAAAAAAAAACTGGTTTTCTGGAGTAGATTAGTTTGTTCTATCTTAGTGCTACTTAAAATCAGTGGTGTTTTTCATTGTTTAAAATTCTATAAAATATGTTTAAGTGTTTATCTAACAGACTGTAACAATAAATAAAGAGAAAGATGTCATTTAAGAGATCATAACAAGAGTTATAAATGATTGTATTGATAAGTTACTTGAAGTCCGTAATCCATTAGACAAAATCTGTATTTTTTATGAGAAAAAAAGAAAAGAAAACTTCATAGAATGAGAACTTTGTCCGATATTCCCAAACAATAGAACATTCAGAACTCTAATTCAAGTTAGTCAAACCCTAAGATAAGAAACAAAATCAAATCAATTTAACATATAAAAACAAAACTGTTTATTTTCTATTTTTTTTTAGTTATTTACTTATTGAGGAAATTAAATATTATGCCGATAACAACTCTTTTTTCTTTAAAAAATGCAATTTTATTCAACGTATTATCATGATGTTAGGAAATGTCGTCTGAATTGCTCTAAGAAAATTTTTTGTCTAATGAGAGTCTTTTTCTTTTTTACAGGATAATATTTGTTTTCTTCTCAATTTACATCTATGAAATAAATATAATAAATTCGTTTACTAACCATGGATTAGGCAAAAATGAGTAGATATTAAGATTTATTAACAAGCTCGTCAAAAATAATAATAATAATAATAAAACAAAATAGCAGACGCTACAATGGTCTAATATATTGATGGCTTTTTGAAAAGTCTTGTCATCTCAATAGTAGAACTTCATCAAAAAAATAGGGATCTTTCAATATGAAAAACATAGTGTCTTGTTTTATCTTTTATAAAAATGTTTTGTCTACGTATATGAAAATCTGAATTAATTGATATAAGAAAAAAAATTAGTGTAACATTTGAAAATATTAAATGAAACAGAATTATTATGAGGTTTTTTTCATTGTTAATTCTATTTTTAAATATGCAGTCTATTATATAGAAAAATAACACAAAATATTCAACTGTCTATGATATTATAAATTTTTCTTTGAAATTGATTAATATCAAAGAAAACTCATTTTAACATATATCTTGAATGTAAAATCAGTAGAAAATAATTCAATTCTGAAAACTAAAATTGTTTAATGGATTTAAGATTGTAACAAATTTAGTCGTAATAGAGCAAAATACATAGGGCATTGAAAAAGATATTCAGACTGGTTTTATTAAAGAATAATAAGAAGCATTGCTATAATTCTACTATTGACTCTATTTAGCTCATATAGTTTTTCTCTCTATAGACATTCATAGGTTAATTTGAATTAAACATATATGAGTGAAGAACGCGCCAGTTATACCGTTTTGGAAAAAAAAATTTCATGATAATCAAGAGTTAAATGTCGTAGTTTATATAGCGATGTCGAATATGTACAAAAATAATATTTTCCCAATACTTCCCTCTGTTATGATGGATATGAATAATATTACAGCCAATTTCTATATGTTGCATCCATTTTTCCAATATATTTAGTGTATAGACTATTCTCATAAACACTTTGCCAATAAAACTATTTTACATGTCAAAATTTCTTCCCTTGGTATTCAATAAAGGTTATTTCAATTGATTTATTTAAATGAAATTCTGATGATTTTAATGTCGCTCTACACTTTTTACCATAAATATTTCGATCTACATTTTCTTAGTAAAACTGAATTTTCTTCGGAATGGAGAAAGATTTTTGTTTGATTCTGTTGGAAAATTACTGTAATCTATGAGATGAAAAGATGATCAAATTTTTGTTGCAAACAGTTTAGTTTTTATTGAGTTATACCAATTAAAGAAATTGAAAATCTCGCTCTAGATTTAGTGTGAACATGTTTTATTCATATTTTTGTATTAATCAAATTTATCAAACAAAAGTCTTTTGTTTGTCACACTATTTACTTCTTGTCTCTTTCATATTCAATCAACATTTCTTAAAATTGGAGGCCACTCATTTTAATCTCAGTCTACACAAAAAATGAAAAGTGTCATAACACATATTATTGATCGTTTTTCATTCAGAAAACTTTGTATAGAACTAAGACAAATGATATATTGTCAAAACTCGCGATGAGTTCTGCAATTTTAACTACAAATACAATTTAATAACAAAATCGATGAAATAGAAAAAAGTTAATTTTCTTCAGAGATATGACATTGAAATGCTACATATTTGATATTGTTGCTTTGATCTCTCGAAAACTAAAGCAATCAGAAACTTGACATTTTCTGAAATGAATAGTTATCTATCGAAAAATAAAGCTTCAAAAAAAAAATTATCAAATTCGATTGAGTAGAACTTAACCTATAGGTATTTTTCTTTTCGAAATTCAACAGTACAATTGGCGTGCTCTTCAATCATATATGAAAATATAGAAATACATTTTATATCATTTTCTAGACACTAACAGAAAATCAAAAATCTTGAACATCAATCAGTAATGATTTTTTTTTTTTGATGGGAAGCCGTATTTCATTTAATATTTATAAACAGTTTATGATAATCAGTTGTTTATCACTCACTACAGCCTCTGAATAGGATTGTTGCTGTTAAAGATATATTATCACTACATCATTGTGAATAATATAACTATTAGAATTCTTAAAAGTCTTACGTTCGAAGATAGTTGAATCGAACTTAGATAAATATTATATATTTTTCCTTGTTCGAATTTACAGTACATAGTTTTTCATAGAGTCAATAGTATATGTGATTAAAATCAGTTCACGGATGTACTATATTCTTTAACATGATGTTAACCATGTATCGAGCATATCGTTAATATATAATTATTTGTTTTCTAAAAATGATGATTTCATTCAAATCTTGTATTATGTGATAGGATATTATCAATATAAATTATCACTATATATTCATAAATATTGCGTGACAACTAGACTTTCAGAAACATAAAATTTTTCTCAAGTTTCAATTTTCCATCAGTGTTCATATTTTCATATTGATATTTAATTATGATGTCTATAGATAGAGAACTATCTGAACTACGTATATCCAATCATAAAACTATACTAGTTATTCTTATTATTTCATTAAACTAGTCCGAATAGTTTTTGAACAATTTACCTATGTATATATGAGAAAGTTTCAAAAATATTTGAACGATATTTACTATACATAGGTAATGATGGTGGATGATCACGTTCAAATTCATCAACCAAATGTTGTGCTTCTTCAAAAAATGATGCACGACTAAGGCAATCAACCTAATAAAAGCAAAATAAAAATGATATTTATTTAAATTTAAGAAAAAATAAATAAATATATTTAATATACCATAGTTGTATAGATTTTGACAGTTTTTATTTGAATATTTTTAAAGATTAAACGAGCTTCATGAACAAGTCCGGAATGTGAGCATGCATTTAGAACACAAACATGATTAGCTTCATTCATAAATTCTTGTGGCATTTTAAGATAGAGTTCAACTGCTTGTTTACCCATTCCATTTAAACCATAAGAATTAACTAAAAAGTCAACGAATAGAATAATGTTTTGATTTTCATAAAAGAAAAACAAACTCATCGTAGAGTATCCGATCTTATCTGGTTGATGAATATTTTCAAAAATTTCTTTTGCACGATGTACACAACCAATTTTACCCTAAAATTAATATTTTAAAAAGAAAAACAAAAAAAACAATTGACATCCGAGATTCCAGGTCAACTCTTAAGATATTATCTTGGCGTGCAGTTGAGAACAAGCCATGACAATATTGTTACTAGTAACAATAAATAATTGGTCTACTTCGATAGAAGAGTCTTTATCGAATTGATCTATATATTTTATTAGTGCTAATAATAATTATTCTGAGCAAGTACGCATTAAAGTATTTTAATGAGGTGAACATGCATTATAATGCACTGAATATTTTTTATCAATTTATGTTATAGAAATAAGACCAAATAATTCTTTTATGGTCGTTTTTCATTAATCTATTTGTTATATATATAGCGTATATATTTTAAAGATATGGTAAATATCATGTGAAAAAACCGAGTAAAAATACGTATATTGGACGAACAAATTAATCAATATGCGAAGCTAATACAATATTTGTAGCATTACGAGATATACGTAAAGAATTTATGGTAGAAAAAAAAATACTTTCTTTAATTTCTTTCTCTTTCAACCGATCGAACTTGTTAGATTTTTATCTATTCTACAAGTTTACTACTCTATTTTTACATTAACCAAAGTTAATTATCTAAAGTGTACAAGAATAAGAAATGAAATATTTATTAAGTTCAAACTTATTTATATTGTATACTATCAAATTCTGATAGGTACAAACAGATTCTGTCAGATAATGACGGAATACATTGTACTAAATTTTGGTATTTCAATTTTGAACAAAATGAGTCATCTGTTTCTTCGTCATTCTGTCTTATTCGACACTTTTCTTTGAAAATCTCATACAAACTACAAATATCGTGATCTTACTGGTGAGCACACATCAGTCAAAAAAAAATAAACGACATATTTTATGATTCATTCATTTATCAACAAGATATTATAGGACTTCAATACGAAATCTTTTTAAAATTCATTCAACTCTAAATTATTCCAAGAACTAGTTAACGAAGCAATAAAAAATCTATACTATTTTCTCAAGGTTTTTTTTCTCTGCCTTCTATTTGGATTTGTTCGATTTTGACAGATTATTGTTTCTGCTTTTACAGATTTTTCTCTATAAATAAAATATATATGTTTGAGTTAGAAATGAAAATTTTTAGTTCTCTAAGGAGAAATTATGATAACATGTAATTTTAAATTCTACTAGACAATTATATATAATAGAATGAATATCATCTCTAATAGAAATTAAAATAAATGTTGATACGAAGGGTAGAATATATAGGAAGGAAAGAGAAAAAAAGTTTCAACATTTAAATTGCTCGTTTTGTTAAAATGTCAAAGCAAAACTCTCGAATAGTATAAAACTGGAACTATTTTCATTTAAACTCGATAGACACAAAAAATATTTGAGCAAAAAATTTCGTTCGAAGGTTGTTATTAAGTAAGCTATTTATAATGATATCAGACACGTATCGGAGGGAAGTCCATGGGACCCAGACGTCTCCTCAGCTGAAGAACAACTAGTAGAGAGTACAAAAAAAAGCGCTTTGTGCGTAGCGAGAAAATCATTTGACTATGCGGGAGTTCCTTCGTTAGAAAATTTCTGGATACATGCTTCAATAACATTAAACTGGTACTGAAAGGTAGATTACAGTAAAAAAAGTTTCACGATTTTCAATCGAAATCAGAATTAAAATCGATTGATAATTTTGATTATTGCTGATAACGATTAACTATTACTTGATATTGTTACTTATTCAATGTGAAATTTTCTGATTAAAATCGAACGATTCTCCAGCAAATTCAAGGTTATCAATTGATTAGTAATTTAGATTATCCTAAAAAAAGAATCTTATTTCAATCAGAAAATTTCATATTAAATAAGTAACAAAGTCAAGTAATAGTTAATCGTGATCCGCAATAATCAAAATTATTAATCGATTTTAATTTTGATATTTTTTTAGAAAAATCCAATTGAAAATGGCGAAAATTTTTCACTGGGATGTGGTCAATCTTTTTTTAAATATTCTTTTATAGATGGTATTCATTCTATCATATATAATTGCCTAGTAGAATTTAAAATTACACGTTCTCATAATTTCTCCTTGGAGAACTAAAAATTTTCATTTCTACTCAAACATATATATGAACCTTTGTATTCATCAATGAATATCAAATTAGAGAAATCTAATAGAAATAAATATTCTAAAGAATTATATTAGTGAAACATAAGCCTTACGCCATTACTTTACTAATTCATAGATAGACATGACTAATCGAAGGTTTGATTTGGTGATATAATGATAAGAATGATTCGTATTGTCCTAATAGTTGGTATGATAAATTTAGACTAGTACCATAAAATCACTATTAGTTGCAAGTCGACGTAGTTAAATTCTTAGTTGAAACTCTAATAATCAAGGTTAAAATAGCATATTTTAATTCTAAGAAGATTAGCTGTTGTGTACCTCGATGTCCAATATTTTATACGAATTTTTTCCTACACTATTCTATATAGTTTAGTTTTTACGACGCACATTTCAAACTATTAATTAATTCTGCAAGAATAATTCAACAAGAAGAAAAAAGCTACATATATTCTTGCTGGTAGATGATTAGTTCTTTTTGTCTAATTTGCTTTTGTGTGCAGTTCACATCCGATTTAAAGATTGAACTAGAGTCTACTGTTTCAACAGACACAGAACATGAATAATACGAGAGATATGAAACTGACTAGTAATAAAATTATTCCTCTAGATGACTATAAAAAGAAGTGAAGAGACAAGTCAAACATCCATATTCTATAGTAACACAGGAAATAATGAAAAACAAAAGTTCAGAACATATTGAACAATAGTATTTAGAAATCTAGTAAAACGACAGCTAATAAATTTATTTTTTCTTTTCAAAAAACTTGAAGACCCCACCGAGTACCGATAAAATAGCTTTATCTAGTTTTTTTTTATGTTTCTTTTTCAGATCAGGATAGACTGAAAAAAAAATCGATCTGTTAGCAGATCTAATTTGAACTTACCCACATATCGATTAATGTATTTTGAATTCGATCATTAAGAAGAAAAGACTTTGGAATTTGTTGAGTAGTCAATTGAGATAATGAATAATCACCAATATAAGATAAAGCTTTAATTAGACAAAGATAAATAATAAAATCTGGCTCAATATTATCAGTTTTCATTCGATCAAATAAATCTAACACTTTTTCAGGATTATCCGTTTTAAGATATCCACTCATTAAATTTCCATAACTAATCACAGTTTTTTTCATTTTTGAAAAAAGAATTTCTGCAGTTGAAAAATCTTCACATTTAATCAATGCATCTAGTAATGAAGTTAAAAGATGAAAATTTAAATAAAAATCTTTTGGAATTTTTAATAAGACTTTTTTTATTAAATTTAATGCTTCATTAGTTCCTAATTGAGCACAAGCATTAAATAACATAATAAAATTAACATCATCAGGCTCTTCAATTTCGTTGAATAAATCAATCGCTTTATTTGCCATGTTATTTTGAATATACCCTGATAGAAAAAAAAAAAACAATAATAATAAATTGATAAATAATTGTTACCTTTCATCATTACTCCATATATGGGTGAGATTTTCTTTATAGACCGATTGAATAATGCTTCAGCATGTGTTACATCACCACATTGCATCAATGCATCCAAAAGTGAAGTCAAAAGACGTAAATTTGAATAAAAATCTTTCAACATCTGTGATGATACGGTTTTTGTTAAATATAATGCTTCATTAGTTCCCAATTCAGCACAGGCAGTAAATAACAGATTAATAGTAATTTCATCGGGACTTTTTATTTCTTTGAATAAATCAATCGCTTTATTTACCATGTTGTTTTTAATATAACCTGATGAAAAAAAACAATAATACTAAATAGACAAAATAATTATTTGTTACCTTTCATCATTGCTCCGTACATTGATAATATTTTCGTTGGTGATGTATCAAACAATTCTTGAGCATATTTGACATCACCACATTCCATCAATGCATCCAATTGAGCAGTTAAAAGGCGAAGATTTGTATGAAATGATTTTGGAATTTTTAATGATACCTGTTTTATTAAATTTAATACTTCATTAGTTCCTAATTGAGCACAAGCATCAAATAAAATAATAATAATAACTTCATCAGGATTTTTTATTTCTTTGAATAAATCAATCGCTTTATTTGCCGTGTTATTTTGAATATAACCTGATCGAAAAAAAAAAACAATAATAATAAATTGATAAATAATTGTTACCTTTCATCATTGCTCCATACGTATGTAGACTCTTGTTTGATACTGTATCAAATAATAATTGAGCACGTGTGACCTCACCACATTGCACTAAAATGAGGAAAACATAATAATAAAAGTGTTTCTGATTATAACTTACTATAAAGATGAATTAATGATACTAATATATAAGCATTATCTTTCATATCTGACGAAATGCATTGATGAATAGTTGAACCACGTTGAAGATCTCTAATTTGAGCACATGCTTTTAAAGCTTGAGTAATAGTATAGCTGGAAAGAGTTTTCGTATTATTTTCTTTATATTTATCAAATAATTCAATTGCTTCTTTGAATTTTTTCTTATCGTTCAACAATTTCATCTGAGTACACAAATCAAAATCTGATGAAATAATTACTGAACGTTTGATACCGGATGTTAAAAATATCAAACGATGATCTAGTAATTTCTTTAACATTGAATTGTTTACTTTTCTGTGTTGTTTTTTTAATTAGAAATAATTAATAAAAATTCAATAATATATAAAATTTTTTTTATGAAGTCTATTCAATGTGAATCTAGAACCAATCAAAATTTAATGAAAAGAGGGCGTCCTATATTAGTGTGTAAAGATGTTTGTATATCTTTATTTAACAAATCTATCTGGAATCAGTGTTATTAATAAGAATGTGAAATAGAATGTATGTGTACACTATGTTTTTCAAAACAACATGTATTCGTACCAGAGATGAGCACAGGACGGGGCGGTGCGGCTGTCCTGTATCCTGTCCTGTCCTGCTGAGCGGCAGGATAGGTTTACACCGGGCGGTGGCCAGGGCAGGACGAAACTAAAATTCCTGCCCTGTCCTGGTGTGCGGCAGGTTGAGTTTGACACAGGACAGCACAGGACCGAATAGAAGATGTTGTCCTGTAGTCATTTATGATATTTATCATCGTTAATAACATTAGATATTCGCTATCACTGATAGATGTCATTATTCTTTATACGTAGAAGTGTGATTATTCCCGTATTGGTCGATAAGATAGTCAAATCGGGAGAATAAAAGAATATGTGCATAACAAATGTAAACAATGTATATCTATTGTTCTTTGTTCTCTTATCATAATATCGACATCTCGTCTTTATTTTTGCTTCATCTTGAAATTTTTTTTGTACCCTGTTAACAAAACAATACATGGACTTTATTGAAGTATTTTCTCCTGAAGAAGATTCTTTCAGTTCAGAAAAGCTCAAAGTTCTTCTGCAGGCAGACATGAACAACTATACAGTTATCAAAAATCAACCAGCACTAGCAGCACGACCATTATCCTGGTGGAGTACTTTCGGTTTTCCTGCTCAATTAGATGAAAATAAACAGTACAAGCGGATAATGGGCTACGTTAGTTGCTTCAAATGTTATCAAACATTTGTTTATTCTTCTAAAAGTGGAACAACACGTTTAAGAGAACATCAAAATAAATGTATTAGACCCATGCCTTTATCATCTATTATAACGATTGATGAATCCAATACTTCATCATCATCATCTACAAATATCGATGAATCCAACACATCATTATCTTCTACATTAAATGATCAATCCAGTAATACATCATCAGCACAATCTACTCTTTCACAGTATGGATTTAAAAAAGTATTAAAATTAAATGAGAAAGATGTTGATCATATAAAGAAGTTGTGTGCCCAATGGGTTTGTAAAGATCTTCGTCCTTTTTCAGTATTAGATGATACTGGTTTTCGTGCTGTAGCTCAAGAATTAATTCGTATTGGTATGTTGCATGACTGTATTTAATTAAAAGAAGTTTTTTTTTCTTAGGACGCAAATATGGTGTAATTGATGCCGGTGAAGTTTTAAGAAGTCGTCATACAGCAGCACGCACTATTTACAGTGTAGCTGATGTATGTAGAGAAAAGATAAAACAAAAATTAATTGAACCACTTAAGCAACGTGCTGTCACAATATGTCCAGATTTTTGGACGGATAAATATAAAAATATATCGTATTTAGGATTACATCTTACGTATGTCGATGCTTATCATCAATTTTTTTCAATTGATCTATTTTGTCGACCATATTTTGGTATTAAATCAGGTGATTTAATTGTTAAAGTAAGTCAACTCTTATAAAATTTAATGTAAACACACAAGTACATAAATCTAGCTGCACATATATTTATTAAGGTGATCAGTATAGAATAAGTTTGTTCTTTAGTAGATGTTATAGTTTTCACAGTACCAAAAAAGTATCTAATATAGATCTTCTTATTATGAACTGGCGAATCTCTTTAGATAAAAATCAATTTTTTTTGTCCTGTCTGCTTTCATGTTTTGGATATCGTAACTCTTAATCTTTGATCTCAATTTTACATTCTTGTGTTTATTCTAGGATCTTGAAACACATTTACGACAATTTGGCATCGATGATTTAGCTATGGTCAATATTTTGTCAGATAGAGGCTCCAACTTCGTCAAAGGTTTTCGTCCCTATAGTCCAATGTTCTGTTTTGGTCATAGGCTTAACAATGTTCTTAAAACGTCATTTTTTCAACATGAAAAAAGGAAGAAGAACACAACGTTAGTCTCAACGACTAATGTTTCAAGTTTATCAAACAGTATTACTATACCACAAGGAAACAAAATTGCTGCAACAAGTTTAGTTGAAATTGCATCTAGTGAAGAAGAATCTGAAATCGATGATGAAGATATATTACCATCGATTTCGATAGTACGAAGGAAAAAAATATCTGGTCAAAAATCAACAAATAATGAAGAAAAATCATTGCGAAAAATATCCAGTGAAGATATTCCTGATTCAGCAAAACAAATTCTTTTCACGATATCCAATTGTAAAAAATTGGTAAAATATATAAAAAAGGTAGATAATGCAAACTTTTTGTCAGTGGCACAAACGCTTTTTTCTTTTAATTTATTTTAGAGTGGACTAAACATAGAAATAGAAAATTCAGGAGGTACAACAATTCACCAATCTATTGATATTCGTTGGATATCAATCATTGAATCATTAGAATCAATATTAAAGTCATTTAAAATTGTCAAAAAGATTTTAATTTCCAAGCAACAAAGTAAATTTATCATGCACGTACACGAAAAAACAATTAAACAAATATTACTATTATTAAGACCATTTAAACAGATTATTAAGTTAGCTCAAACAGGTAATTCTCCATCTCTACACATGATATTGTTGTGCATCCAGACACTGAAGGATGTCATGAGTTCTTATCAATCATTATTAAATTATGATAAATCTTTTGGTAATCATGAGTCAAAGGAAGATTCCTTCGAAACTGATGAAGATATATTGAATGAATTAGAAGGTGAGTATAGAAAGAGTTTATACTAAAATGATTGTCATACTTTTTTTAGGTATAAAATTTTTTTGGGACCGTATACGAAATTTATTAAATGAAATGTTTGTTCTGGACATCAGACATTATGCCGCCACATTATTACATCCAAAATACAGATCATTAAAAGCTTGTACTTTAACTGAACGTAACGAATGTTATGCTTATGTACGACAACAAATGCAATTGATTTCAATTGAATCGATCGCAGAAAATGAACAACGAAAAAATGAATCAGTTGCTAAAAGATTAAAAGTTGATTTATTTTCTCGATTCGAATCTGATTATTTTGATGTTCAACAAGAAGTTGGACGTGAATCCGGTAATGAAAGTGAAGAATATTCTTTTGATATTAAGAAAAAGGACGAACTTGATGTATATTTGAATTTGGAGATTGATAAGACCAAGTTACCGATAAATCCATTACTTTTTTGGAGAGATCAACAAAAGAAATTTCCTCGTTTATCCCGGTTTGCCCGGTCCATTTTTTCGATACCAGCTACATCTGCAGCTGCTGAAAGACAATTTTCAGGAGCAGGATTAACTATTCAAGAGAGAAGAAGTAATCTCAATCCTGAACAACTAGATAATATTTTACTAGTACGATCTATGCAAAAATATGAAGATTTTTTTTAAATATAATTGTTATTATTTCTCGGGTTCATGATGTTGTTTTGAAGTGAATAATGCTTATACTAGTAAAACATCTACATTTTTACGTGTCACTTGTTTTTTTTCTGCTACTGTTTGTTGTATAAGTGTCATCGTATCGATGAAACACTTCTAACTAGTGTTTATGTATTTTTTATCATCTATGTGTTATCAAAGTATTCTGGTATTATATTTATTCTTTTTTGTCTTTATTAACTTAACTGTTATATAAAAATAGAATTGTGATGACTAAAAACTGTAAAGAAATAAATTGGTCATATAATCTCAAAGAGATGCAACACATGCCTTACTTAACAAAAAATTAAACATGCATTATTTTTAATACAGTGTCCTGGCCTGTCCTGTCCTGCCGAGCGGCAGGATAGGATTATAGCGTGCGGTGAACAGGGCAGGAAGAAAATAAAAATTTTGTCCTGACCTGCTGAGCGGCAGGATACGATTATAGCGCGCGAGGAACAGGGCAGGACGGAAAATCTTGTCCTGTGCTCATCTCTGATTCGTACCCATTGTTTTGTAGACCAATGTGTACGAAATGTGTAAAACTAATGGGTAGCCACATCAAAAATACCTTATACTTACTTCATTTTTTACTTTAATGAGAACAATGAAGATTGAATAGTAAGGACACAAGGATAGAACAGGTCGAGAACTGTATTCATGTTTTTCTCAATCTACTTTTGTGACGATCGTGTTACGTTTATCTACAATTGATTTGAAAAGAGATATTGTTATGAAAAAAATATTAACGAAGAATTGAGAATCTGTAGTTATTGAAAATCTTCGTAGATAAACTAGAACTAAAATCTTTTATGATGAGTTTTTTTTCTAGTATTTTCTTTTCTCGTATCTTTTTCAGATGCTTGAAAAAATATTTCAGTAACACTTTACATTCAGATCAGTTAGCACAGTGGCCATATACGTAAGCTACATATGTAAGAACACAGAGGATTTAAAAGCACTTTTATCTATAGTTATATTGAATATGATAAGTGTAGCGTTAATTAAGGTGCCGGAAATTCAAAATAATAGCAGGAAAATAGATTTCGCTGAATTATATATGATTCGATAGAACTCATGATGCTGATTCCGAATAACATGTTCATAATTTTTTTAAACCTCGTTTTGGCAGAGAAATCTTAAAAATACAAGTGAACTCTAAAAACCTGGTGAAAACACTGGCTTAGAGAAATCTCAAATTTTCGCATG